CATGGATGCTCAAACAATACCACGAAGACCTAGCTCCTGTGGTTTATGACATTGTGTGCTGTAGTATAAGTCAATGTTGTTATCCATCACTCTACAAACATGCCCTAATTTCCCCTGTTCCTAAAGTGCAACCGCCGAGAGACATTAACAATGATTTCCGCCAGATATCAGTCTTACCCAATCTTGCCAAGATCCTGGAAAAGATCCAGCTCCAGTTAAATATTGAAGACCTGAAAATTAAGAATAACCAGCACGCGTTTACTCAACATCGAAGCACAGTCTCTGCGTTAATATCAACTACCCAAACCTGGTTTAATGCCACTGATTGTTCAAAAACAGGCAAAATGGGGTTCATGCGGCCTTCATTGACTTTCGTAAGGCCTTCGACCTTGTGGATCACAATATTCTTTTGAACAAATTAGCAGCTATGAACATAAATAAACCCTTCTGGTTATGGATTAAAAGTTTCCTTTCCGGAAGAGTTCAACAAGTAAATCTCAATGGTACCTCATCATCCATTGCAACATGCCCGGCCGGAGTCCCGCAAGGCTCTGTAATATCTCCCATTCTTTTTAATACCTACATTGATGATTTGGAGGACGCCTTACCAGAACAACTAAAAGTCAGTACGAATAAGTATGCAGATGACTGCACACAACGCCAAATAGTGAGCGTAGATTCTAATAGTAATTTACAACAATCTATCAATGAAGTAAATAACTGGGCGGTGTTAAATAAAATGGCAATTAATGCTAAAAAAACTAAGGGCATGTGGATCTCTTTCACGGACGCTATACCTGAACCACCACGTCTTCGTATTGGAAATGAGTTAATAGAAAGGGTCAACGCTTTTAAATTACTTGGCGTGTCGTCCCAAAATAATCTAAAATGGAACGCACATGTTGAAGAGATTACACGTAAAGCAAATAAACGCCTTTACCATCTTAGAGAATGCAGGAAATCGCAGTTACCAGCTGAAGTCGGTATTATTACCTATCAATCCAAAATAAGACCAATTCTCGAGTATGCATCACCTGTCTGGGCGGGACTCCCTAATTACCTGCGAGATGGAAGAGGCAACTAGTCGAGAAGTTGATAGGTTTATGAACGATCCACACCATCCCTGTCGCAGTGTTTTGCCAAAATTAATTAACAATCAGTACAATTTAAGGAACATTGACCGGAATCGCAATATATCATTCTTCTCAGGAACTGAAAGGCATAAACATTCATTTTCAGTTAGAGCTTGTAAATATGTATAAATAGTTTTAACTTATTAGAAGAACTTATTAGATTAAAGAATTTATTAGTTTTAACTTCTTAGTTAGTTTTCTAAATTATCTTACAACAATTTGTAATATAAAGACATATCCGCAGCATATATACTTTCTTAAACAAGTAATTGTAAGTCCATTGTACTTTTTTATCTTAAGATGGATGAATAAAGCTATTATTATTTTTTTTTTTTTTATTCTGTACTGTGGTCTGTTGACATTTTCTGGAATTTGTTCTGTGTTCTATGCTCTATAAGCGTTATATACAAATTTACCGTGATAAAATTCAAATTCCGCACCTTTTATGTGTTAAAATGCAGTGAAAAAATACTAGGAATCATTTGGTTTGTTTACGTATATATTATGCACGTTGGCCAGTTTTCAAACTGTAAATAACGCTCGACAAACAACATTAAGTGCCTTGTTAGACGAAGTGGCTAATTTTGAAGTAAAAGATAAAACGCGATAATCCACAGTTAATAGAAGACGGTCTACACCTGAACAGCGGGCGTGACGAAGAACGCTTTGCCCGATTTTCGGGTGGTTCGCCTCGCGGATCTGCCTGCATGCAGGCTAGAGTTGGGTAGCCACAATATATCTGAATTTCAATATCTATTTCAGCATTGCCGTGGAAGTGCGATAGAAGACGTCTTGAACAATTGTGAAATTCATACATGGAGGTACGATTTTACTCTTTATTCTACATAGAGATACAAGATATACAATACCACATATATGTTAGACTATTTTTGTTTATGTTATTTCCCAAGCCACTTCAGTGGGTTCTCGGAAAAATTTATGAATATCTATTGTGACTAGTGAGAATTAGCGCAAAATATCTTGGCTGATAGACAGCGGCAAGCCGAAGATGCGTAACGATATTTTTGCTGCGACGGTGGCGCAACGGTTGAATATTGCATTGACGTCGCACAAGTTGGCTACACCTGCCTCTTGTGGCAATGCATGATTTATGACTCATTTATAATTCATTTCATCAGATGACCAAGAAACCTTGACCACACCCACTGACCACACCCACTGACCACACCCACTGACCCCACCTCCCAATTCTCAGCCATCGTGGCTCAAAATGAAATAGCCTGCAAATGAAATGGTTTGAATTTTCGGCAACGCGGCAGGAAGGTTCGCGTTGCCGTCGCAAAGCATGCCCGAACAATTTCTCTCTCGCAACAGCAATGCTACGATTTTACCGCGATTGAATTGCGATCACCAGACAATATTGCCATGTATCGGTAGCTTGAATCAAATGATCGTAATGTTGCTGTTCAGAATTGCGCTAAACTTGTTCACCAATATGGCGGCCAAACTCTCAAAATACTGCGGTGGTGTAATATGCCTTTTCTTGTCACGTTCATGCAAATTCATGCTGAAGGGTCCTCAAGAGATCAAAATTAGAATTTTGATTTGCTCGTTAGAAAAGTGCTTAGAAGAGCTATGAAAAGAGAGGAAAAGAAGCGACCACTTTGAAAATTTGTTTGACTTCTAATTTAGAGAACGCGCATGCAATTAAAATGAAGTTTTGCCAAGCACGCATCTTGCCAAATGAGTTGACGCGAGAGTGCGGGAGAGAGTCTTAATAGGTCGGATAGGGATGAAAAAAAGCTGATGCAGGATTTTGGAAATGTTATTTTTTAAATGAAGTATAGGGTACTTCTTAGTATGCACGTATAGTTCATTACACCCAGATAAGTTAGAGACACAGACCCACTGACAAATCAAACAGACAAAGTATATGTAAAAATTGTTTATTAAAGATGTGAAAAACCCTGAGTAATATGTACAGTCACAGTGAAATATGTACATTTAGATTATCTGTATGTGGTTAAAAACATCTTTTGATATAGGCTAGTGTATCATAAACCTAGTGGCAAGACCTCGAGTCCGATTTGAAGGAGAGGAAGGGTTGGGCCGGAGCAGACCCACTTCGTTAATTCTTGCACTTATCAATGAAAGTGGTTCAAGATGGCATTAGCCAAAACTTGTTATCTTTTTTGAGGGACAGGCCGATCATAAGGTTCCAGTCCACAACCCAGCACTGAGACATATAGGAAGTTTTCGTGCCCTTGGTAGAATCATGGGACATTCATTTTTGCATGATGGCCCACCTTTGTGTGCAGGAAGTTTTCGTGCTCTTGGTAGAATCATGGGACATTCATTTTTGCATGATGGGCTGATGGCCCACCTTTGTGTGCAGGAAGTTTTCGTGCTCTTGGTAGAATCATGGGACATTCATTTTTGCATGATGGCCCACCTTTGTGTGAAGGAAGTTTTCGTGCTCTTGGTAGAATCATGGGATATTCATTTTTGCATGATGGGCTGATGGCCCACCTTTGTGTGACGGAAGTTTTCGTGCTCTTGGTAGAATCATGGGACATTCATTTTTGCATGATGGCCCACCTTGTCAGAAGCTGTTAAGCACTACATGCAAAAATGGAGATATCTCATCCAATCCACCTCCTTTGGAAGTAGATGATATTCCAGACATTGACTTACAGCTACTATTGAAGGATGTATGGCATCTGTAAATGTTACTGCTGTCATTGAATCCCATGTGTGAATATGGACTATTTTGTTTGATCAGTAGGACCAATAGACCTTTCCGGTAATTACGTCACAACTACATGGAAGTGAGGCTGAGGGGCCACGCAATAAAGCACAATTAATTATTCATAGATTGCTTGGCCACTCAGCCTTACTTCCGTGTAGTTGTGACGTAATTAGACCAGAAAGGTCTATTGTAGTTGACATGTTTGACAATATATTTACATGTTTCTTTTCTAGTTTTGGAAAATACGGTACAGCCGTACTTTTTACTCTATCGCTTCATCAGAAAAAAAGCAACCGTAACGGTTGTCTAAATAACACAAGAAATTGATACATAGCACGATATTTGCACAGAATATTTGCTATATTTTTGCTTAGCAAGCAAACACGTTTTAAATTAGCGGAAGTAAGGATACCAAATGCTCGAAGCAACTATATATATATATATATATATATATATATATATATATATATATATATATATATATATATATATATATATATATATATATATATATATATATATATATATATATATATATATATATATATATATATATATATTATAAGTTCAATATAAAATGGATATGGATTTCCAGTGTTAACTGAAATGGTCCAAAACATCTCGCTGAAGCATCTCAGTATTTTCGAAGAACGATGTCTGTTCTACACAGGCTTTTAGCCAGGGTCCTAAAAGAAGGCGTCCAATTTTGGTACAACGATACATCTACCGGGGGGGGTCGAGAAAACGTTCCTCTGGAAAACCTTTGAAGTTTACGTTACTTCATATCAGTATCTGTTCCAAGCTCGTTCGAAATTTTTCAAACACATTTGGCTTTGTGAGTTTGTGCCGCTACGCTTCTTTACTTAACTACGGCATTTTCATTCAGCCAGGTACACCATCAAATTGATCGAAATGTCAAATGTATAATAATAATGAGAATTGAAGCTATTTCGTTTCAGATATATTAATATACTTAGAAAAATCATTGAAAAATAATTTCCCTTTTCGCCAGAGTTTGGGCGTCCAAAGGCGTCCATTTTCCCTTCTGGCTAAAAGCCTGGTTCTACATGCTGGCGAATTTTTTTTTAGAATAAAGTGATTTGAGGGGGAGAATTTTCGATTCCAAGTGCTTGTGCCAACGGATCGACGATCGGAAGTCGCTTGCCTCTATCATCTATTATGTATACTAGTGGCGGCCGCCGCAACCATCGAGTGTAAAGTCTCGGAAAATATTAGTCCAACAAAAGAGGAATAAAAGGAGAACACACACAGGCAAGTAAATTGCATTTAAAATATATTTATTATGACATATTTTTACCATAATAGACATTACTATACTGACCCTTACAAGATTGGGCGGCCCTGTGGTGATACGAGATCGAATTTCGAAATACGTAGAACGAACGAAATGCCGGATTCAATTGCCTAATGCAATATTGTAACACGAGACAGAATAACAAAATGTAATGCGTCATAATGAAATGCTTCCTATATTAAAGGCCACGTTAAAAAAAAATAGTTGTTTAGCGTCCACATGATGGAAACTCATTTCACCAAAATGCTCACCGCGCGCTCAGTTTTCAAGTTTCCCCCCTCAAATTTTGCATGCATAATGATAAATCAATGCTGCAGCTAACTAGTTGCCACAAATTCTATATCTTTAAAAACTGTACGTGCTACGGGTTGCTTTTGAGCCGCGAGATTAGAACGCTTCTGATATACCTCAAAGGCTTCCGAAACATAATATTTCCCATCTCAAATGATCAAAGAGCAAAACCGTGTTGGCGTTTTTTGACAGATATTGTATTTGCTTTGATATAAAGTAGACAAGTTGACTTGTCTAAATTTTGGGAGAACGACAGAACAGATGCCCATAACTTGAAAAGTATAGCACTAAATCAAAAACGCGAACACGGTTTTTCTCCTGTACTATTGTTCAACATTGTGACAAAGTTTGGAGGGAATCGGATAAAACGTGCGCGTCTCTTGACTATTTTTGTGGGGACAATCTGAGAATATTTCAATCTCCGTAAAAGACGATAATAGATTTGGCGGGCTTTTCCCGCTCTCTGTAACTTATCACCTCGAAATGTAATCGGATTAAACTTAGTAAAGAGTGTTTTGGCAAGGGTTTTTCGTGTCATTTAATTATCAGTTTATCACAAACCGTACGTGCAAGAAACCAGATTGAAAAACTTGCTAATATGCCGGTGAAACGCAAATGTAAAGAGCCATCTAAATCGGCCAAACGAAAATGCAGGAGAAGATCTGTCGTGCGCGACGGAAACACAAGCAAGGTTGAAGGTCACACATCCTGTGTCGAGTATCACACATCTATCCACATATTGTCAATTACATTCACAACTTTCGTGGGCAAGAAATTAGTGGTTATAACATATGAATATTTTCGAAGGCGATCGAGAGATCTCCATCCCCTGAATATGAATCAATAAAAATGTAAAAAATGATGAAATCAGTGTTTTCATCATATAATGTAACATTAAACAGGCGTTTAAACAAGCGTTTATTTAATTATTTGAGCGTTTTTGTGAACACGGAAGATAAAAAAACTTTTAAGACCTGTTTACACTTTCAATTTTTGCTGCGATTTCTAGTACGATTTTCTCCTGATGGATGGGAACGAGTAGATGAGTTATGAATGTTCAGATGAGGCTACGCGCACTCAAAACATTTGTAACTCATCTACTCATTCACATCCATCAGAAGGAGAAAATCGCACTATTTCGCAGCAAAAATTGCTAGTGTAAACGGGCCTTTAAAAATCTAATGTTTTGTCATATGTGTTGAAGATTCTCACAAAAGTCTTATGTTTTGTCACATGTATTGAACTTGAAGATTCTCACAAAAATCTTCAAACACGTATCAATGACATGACAAAAATGTCGCTTAATTGCTCGCTAATGTCACAATGTAAATATCACTGACGTCCGCAGTGCATGTTTCTGCTGACAAAGTCTGTGTTCCGGCTTAGAAAACCTAAAGTCTGTGTTCTAGAAAACCTTCTGCGTTCTTCAAAACCTTCGCTCAATCTTCCATGTATACAAAAGGTATTTTCGTCAGGAAGCCCCGTTTTTACGGACGAAGGCATCTATTTTCCATCGTGTTAATGTAGACGATCGGAGAAAACTCATGCATTTAGGTACAAAAGTTTCATAGGACGGCTCTTTAGAATAAGACACACAATTACTCGCAACTACTCCAAGCTAAATATCTTACTAAATATCTTGGCACTAAACAGCAAAATATCTTACAAAACTATATATCCTACCTCCGTAGGCGACGTTGTCGCGTTGCTGTCTGCATTAGAGCAATTGCTAGAAGACATGGTTGTCATGATACTTGGTGAAGATGTTGTACTTTGACCTGCTAACGGCATGCACAGTAAAAACGCCATCAACAATTGACATATCTCGTGTCTACGGCCCAAAAGGATCATTGTAAGTTCACTTTTATAGCTGTAAGTATAACCAATGTTCAAGATCTAAGTTCCTTTTAGCAGTGTGTGGTTCAATTACAAAAATGCTAAGTTTATGCTGCCTCGTCCCCAGTCGCTTTCAAAGGGGGAGAGGAAAACGAGAAAAAAATTATTTTCCCATCATGCATTGCCCGGTAACTTATCACAGCCACTGATCTATATAGATTGCAATTGCACTGGATTGTTTCCAACAAAAGGGCCTGCGGAGGAGGCAGAAGTTTATGTATACACTGACTGTGACGTGTTTTGAAATTAACCAATAGAAGTGGGGGATAATTACTAACATGTTGAAAGTGTTGATCGCATTAAAAAATCGTTTCAAAGATAATCCGTTTATTTCACATGTGTTTTGCATGGATGGTAAAAATAACACATGGTGTCTTGTCGTGTCTTCAAACTGCTGTTTGCAAGCTACCATTAGGCGTGCGATTCTTTTCATTAAATGTTCAGAGCTTCAGATGCGGCGCTCATTCGGGGGCGGCGCTCAATCGGGGGCGGCGCTCTTTAAAAAAATCTTTTATTTGTGAATTATAACAAGAACTTTTAACAATAAAATAAACGAGTTTTAAATATCTTTGTAAATGCGGTATGTTTACGTCAGCGCTTCCACTTGGAAGGAAATTTCCTTCCATAAAGAAATATAGGCTTGTGGAAGGATAAAGATAACAAAATGCAGTTTGGAAGGAAATCAGGGGGAAATTTAGTCATCTGGAAGGAAAATGGAAGGAAGTTTCAAAATTCGTAATTTTTAATGAGGCACTTAAAATTGTATGTTTTTACTTTCTATAAACCAAATTAATTTAAACTTTGTTTTCACCTAAATGGTAAAAATTGATCTATAGGGATATGTGAGGATAAAACAGAGTGTTTTAAAGTTAGACTGCTCAATTCGCGATTTTCCGTTTTTGCCAATCGCCATGTTTTGATTTTTGAAAATACTTCAGTTCCAATTTTTTCAAACCATAAGGCATTGGCTAAATACATTGAGTCATTGACATTGTATATATAGTGATTATGTAATGATACTGTATAATTATGTTCATATAGCAACAAAATATTCCAGTTTTCGCAACTCGCATAGTCGCATGTCAATTTCAATCTTGTGCGTACAATTACGAAATGTCTAGTTGTGACTCGTAATATACTAGACATAAAACAGCATTTTCCTATAGTGAAAACATGTTTTTAACATGTATGGTAGTAACGAATTGGAAGGAAGTCTGGAAGGAAATTTCAATATTTTTGGAAGGAAATTTTGCTTTAAGGAAGGATAGAAAAGGGATTTTCCAACCTCGTACCCAGGGTCTTCTTCGTGATGGCGCGCGAAAAAAGAGAAGACCCTGGTAAATACTGTTCTAAACTACGTTGTGATTGGTTTATACATTGGCTTTGAGGATTTTGTTACAATAAATATGATTGTTTTACCGCTAATCACTTCCTGTAACAACATAATTAACAACATAATTTATTAGTCAAAGAATTAAATATACATACAACATTACAAGTGATCACATCTCACAGGAAGTACATTTTTATCTATTGATTCATGTGAAAATTATGTAGTTCCACCGCTCCACGAGGGGTGCAACGGAATCCGTTCATAGTTTCTAAGCATCTTTTGGATGCTCATCCTATGGCCTACTTGTACTTGAGGGGGATTACAGGGTCAAACTAATTCGAACATAGAAGAAAAAGTTTGACAAGTGCCTTCGAAGAAAGGGCGTTCACCAACCTGGGCGTTCGCTCGAAACGTCAAAGTCAGGCTTGTTATGTTGTCCTGTTAAGTAGTTTCATTCTGTAAACCCTCATGTTTACAGAATGAAACAATGGTGTTTTACTGGAAACTAAAACGCTCGCAGAACTCATACGTCACTGCATCCGGGACCAGGTGCGCGTATTTTCCGTATTTCACCCCTGCGAGTGACATACGAAGTTCGAAAATTTCCCGCCATTTTCATTGTTGTTGTTTTGAAAATACAAATGGTCTTTGGTTCGTATTTAAAACGAAATTAACGTTGGAAATAAAACGAAAACATTTAAAAGACATCTTGAGATAAGTAAAATTTATTCTAGTTTTATGCAGTTTGGACTATAATTTTAAAAAACATCGCTTTTATACTGGTCTTTCGCGTGCTTATTTACATGTCGTCTTTGTGTGTATTTTTGTCACTCTGAGTAAGTCCATATAATAAACAGAACATTAAACGGTTGCGAGAAGATATGGATTTATGTTCTCGTGTCAAAAACAATATCTCATTCGTTCGCTGCGCTCACTCGTGAGATATTGTTTTTGCCACTCGAACATAAAATCCATATCTCTTCGCAACCGTCTAATATCCTCTATATATTGTTCGTCGCTAACTACACTTGGAACCGCACTTTCAAAATCTTCCCTGTTTCATTTTCTGTGTTAAAAATTCTTGCAAAAGCTCTTTTCATGTGATCAATGTGATGAGTGATGAGTCAGGGTTTAACAATATATAACTATTGGTCATTTACCCCAAACTGTGCCCTTTTTATCATTAATGAAACGGCTCAACCTCGTTGAGGATGCTGCATCTGCCCGCTTTCTCATCTTCTCTACATTCCCTTCTTATGAAAGTCGGCGAGACTTTGTCCCAGCAGTTGTGTTAAAAAATGCCCAGGAATGAGTATAATCTCGTGCACATGAACCGGCATAGCAAACACCTGTTTAAATATGGAGTAAGTCTGACAACTGAAGAGACAACATACAGTAATCCGCGCATTGTGCATGTACACTTAATATCTACGTTCACCATAGATACAGCCACAATACAGGGTGTCCGGAAAATAGCTATGTTCCAGGTTTTTACACAGCTATTAGTGAGCTGTGAGCATCGTATGTGGCGGTGGTGGCACAACGGTTGAATATTGCATTGCCGTCGCACAAGGTGGCTACACCTGTCTCTTTTGTGGCAATGCATGATTTATGACTCATTTATAATTCATTTCATCAGATGGTCAAGAAACCTTGACCACACCCACTGACCACACCCACTCCTCCTAATTCTCAGCCATCATCGCTCAAAATGAAATGATTTGAAATTTCGGCAACGATTGCAGGAAGGCTCGCGTTGCCGTCGCAAAGCATGATCTACACAAACAATTTTTCGCAACCGAGCAATGCCACGATTTTACCGCCATTAATTGCATTGCGATCGCCAGAAAATATTGCCCATGTATCGATAGCTTGAATCAAATGATCGTATTATTATTATTATGAATGATCTTTAAACACGGTAACCTTTCACAACATACAATATGAGAAGAGAATAAACTTATTACTAATAAACTAAATTGTACTTATTTTATACGATATTTGAATATAAAAACAATTAAGGTTTATATGCTGGTGTAGATGTGATCATTTAATGACTTATCGACAATTTTTAAACTTGTTGAGTCTCTTAGGATTTTCAACAAGTTTATTGAGATGTTGTTCCAATACGCGGCTCCTGTGTACGAAAATTTATTTTTCAAGAAATTCGTCATTTTGGTTTAGGTTGAAACAGCTTTAAATTACTACTGCACAGTTCGTAACCACTATTTTCACAAGTGTGAAATAATTGTGTTATATATTGTGGATGCACTATTTTGCTGTTCAGAATTGTGCTAAATTTGTTCACCAATATGGCGGCCAAACTTTCAAAATACTGCTGTTGTATAATGTGCTTGTTCATGCAAATGCATGTTCAAGGGTCCTTTCCAATGGAAAGGTGTTCTCAAGAGATCAAAATTAGAATTTTGAATTGCCCATTGCAAAAGTGCTTAGAAGACGAAAAGAAGCGACCACTTTGAAAATTTGTTTGACTTCTAATTTAGAGAACGCACATGCAAGTCGGATAGGGATGAGAGAAAACTGATGCAGGATTTCGGAAATATTATTTTTATTAAATGAACTATAGGGTACTGATTCTCTTCAGTTCAGAATTTTAAACAAAGTGCTGACTTTTGGCGGTGCATTTGGAAAGTATACAGAATGCAAATATCATGTTGCCATCTGTGCAAAAAAACATCTGCAAAAAGCCATTAATTTTGTGATAATTTTATTTTTGTGTCATACTTTGGGTGTCAAATCAATCATTTATCCAATGATATCGATAGAACACGTTTATGAAATATCTTGATAAAACGTCCAGATGAAATTTTGTAGTCTCACTGTAAGTTGTTCATAAGTTAAGGCACGAAATAATTAACGCGCGGGTAACACTTTTGTTTTAAACCTAACCCGTAGCTACTCTACTAGTTCATTAATTTTGGACAACACATTCGGCACTGCATGGTGTCGGTAAAACAAACGGGTCCTTTACCAAAGCTGTGAACATCTGCAGGACTTTACAAGCCAAGTATGCTGCTCTATAAAAGCCAGGCTGAACATTCAACAATTCATTATGCTCAAAAGTGAACAGTAAAACATTCTGCTAAATACAAAGTTGGTGTTGAAGAAGCGTTCGAGAAGCTGAACTCCTGCAAAAGTCATGAAGAATTTCTTGGTCATCTTGCTTATGTTATCTACCATGACCCTGTGCTTAGCGAAGCCGAAATGGATATGGTTCGATGAGGAAGAGAAGAATGATGGGAATTTCAACGATGAAGTCTTGACAAGAGAAAAAGGAAAGAATGAGGAGAATCTGTTGAAAGAATGGAAGAAAGCTTATGATCGTTCAGAAGAACAAGCAAAACCAAAGCCTAAGTGCCCAATATTTCACTGTGGGTGACACTATATATAACTTTAAACTTCTATATATTAACATCATACAGTAGTAATTATATAAACAATTCATGATAGTGATAATACGTTTAAAGATTTCTTTTTTGTGAATGTATTATTTATTCAATTTTTCTTTGTTCATTGCCAGGTTTCTATGCGATTCGCTTCAAACTTTGTACTTTTATAATTTCCATTATCTGTTCTTCAGCTAAAACAGTCGACGTTTTCACCTATATACGATAAAGATCTGAAAATCAGCCGCTACTGCGCATATTAGCATGCTATTAGAAATGTCATTTTTGTGGCCCACTTTGTTAGGCTGAAAGTTGGATGTGAGAGATGTCCACTTTTCGGAAATTGACGGCATATGTTCGGCTTATGTTCGGAAATTTCTTTCATGATGTGTTTTATAGTTTGTGAGCTATGGAAAAGTTTTGTATTTCCAAGACGACGTTTAACTGTATAAAGGAATGCCAACGGCGAGTATTCTACGTGTATTTATATCGACCTTTTGTTCAGTTTAATCACAGCAGGGGTACACATAAAGCAAAAACCATCTTGCATTATTAAAACAGGATAACAGTGAGTATAAATCGTTGTGCATTTAAATCGAATTTTGCGATTTATATTCGTAAAATAAGCTGTGGTCAAAATATTTGATCGGACGCCATTTTGCGAAAATTAAACGAAGCCATTGTGTTTCCACTGATCTTCAATCAGGCAAGCCACTGTGGTGACTGTACCACTGCTACCAAAATATCATCAAGCCACTGTGCCACTGCTGCTAAAATATCAGCAAGCCACTGGCACTGTGACACAGCTGCTACCAAAATATTAGCAAGCCACCGTGACACAGCTGCTACCAAAATATTAGCAAGCCACCGTGTCACAGCTGCAACCAAAATATCAGCAAGCCAGCCACTGGCACTGTGACACAGCTGCTACCAAATATTAGCAAGCCGCCGTGTCACAGCTGCAACCAAAATATCAGCAAGCCACTGTTGGTACTTGGACCAAAATGTCAGCAAGCCATTGTGCCACAGCTGCTACCAAGATATTAGCAAGCCACTGTGCCACTGATACCAAAATGTCAGCAAGCCACTGTGCTACTGCTAATTGTGCAGGTAAACAAATTGAACCTCGCCATTATGCAGGTATATATAAAAATACCTAGATTGGGGATTATAATACAACTGCCCTATAGCTGCCAACTTGCAGGTAAAGATTCATACCGATACATGACAAAACAACATTGACTGTTTCACTTGACTGGAATTATGGGTGTTGCAATTGAGACCTATCATTCAAGGATTGCTTCACACTACAATTGTACCCCAAATAAAATAATATCTTGACTGAAAGAATTGTTGATGGTGTTCTATTTAAATGCATTTTGTCTGCCATGTCTTAAAAGCCTAGTGACTAGAACTGGCAAAAGTAATGTTGTTCAGCACAGATGGAATGCTATCATGTTTATGTACCATTATTATTAAGACTTTCGAATGACGTCGAAGAAAATCCAGGTCCTAGAAATATTAATGAAATTTTTTATTATACTTATACAACTCATGCCGATTTCCATCAAGGTCATGCATTAATATTTGTAGAAGTAAATGTTTGTTTTGCATTATCAAAAGCTTCAGTGACAGTGAAGCCAGTCCAATGACTTCATAGGCTGTCATCAAAGTCTTTCAACATAATTTATTAAACAACAGTATTAAACGGTTCATACATTTTAATTTTACGGATTTGGCTGGTAAATTATTAAGCACAAGCCACAAGGCTTCAGGGGCGTAGGAAGCAACGTGGAGTTGGGGGGGTGGGGGGGGCACTACATAAGAAGAGCACCTTTTTATTAAAAAAGGCATTTTCCCCATTGTTTTATCTTAAAAATGGGTACTTTGAGGGTAACTTGGGGGAGGGGGGCACATACCCCAGTGCCCCCCGGTTCCTACCTACGCCTGTGAAGGCTTACCACATGTACCTGTAGGCTACCCACATGTACGCAATGCGTACCTATTTTTGACAATCTAACTCCAACTAATTTGTAAAAGAACAGGAGGTATACACTACACAAATCCTTTTCAGAATCCGTTTTCTTAAAGTTTATTAATATTTAAACACTAAGGCCCGTTTCAGACGGCGTACTTTTCATGTGCCGAACTTAATACACCCTTTGTCCCTTTCGATAATTACGTCACAACTACACTGTTTTCAACTTGGGACCACCTACAGGTAAACTGGAAAAGATTTCAAGTTTTTTTCTCATGGGCTATGCACAGAGAAGCAGAACATCCTTCTTCAACACATGCATGAAAAATAATTCTTTATTTTGACCAATAAATGTGGAAATAAACTTTAACACGAAAACGAGGCTCCAGGTCATGACCTGGAGCCTCGTTTTCATGTTAATGCTTATTTCCATTTTTATTGATCAAAATCCAAAGATTTTTTTCGCGCATGTGTTGAATAAGGACGTTCTGCTTCTCTGTGCATAGCCCATGAGAAAAAAAACTTGAAATCCTTTCCATTTAAGGTGGTCCTAAGTTGAAAACAGTGTAGTTGCGACGTAATTATCGAAAGGGTGTATTAATGAATTAGGTACGGCAGAAGAGCGACGTATGAATCAATTAAATACGGCAGAATTTGGAGCGGCAAAAGTTCGACACAAGTTCGGCAGAGCTTGTCGCATTATGCGACGTTGGAGCGACATTGATTCATACGTCGCTCCACTCATGTGCCAAACCCAACTCATGATGAGTCAGGAATGTAGTTCTGCTATATCTATGCGTTTGACCAATCAATCGCTGGCTCAATGTGCAAAAACGGATCGAAATTTGCATGCTGGAGTGTGATAGAGTTTGCGTGATCGGAAATGAACACTGGAAATGAAGGGAAGCGTTTGCGCGCTGGGAAATAACTTAAAAACCTTGATGCAAATTTTTTTTATATGCCTTTTTGTTGTTGCATGCCATATATGGCATGCAACTTTCATATAGCTCTAAATTTCGTGTCGTCGTGGCGGTGGTAAGCGTACCGATGGCAGTGAGCTCCATATATATCTGGAGTAGGAACTTGGTTGCTCAAAGTGAAGCCAGTTTCGTGTTAACCGCGCATACAAAAACAATAGAAAGGGACTGGAACTGACGTCCAAGAGCTCCTTCAATTTCCGCCATCTTGGCAAGGAGTGTGTTGAAATTTCGTATTTTGACTTCGATTTAAAGAATAATATTGTGATTTTATGAACTGAAAACTTGATTAGTGATACGGTCCATTAGAAAAAACTGGAATTAGCTGGGGAAAATGGTATTAAAACTGTTTACGACCTTCATAGCTATTGGACGTCAATGGCCGCCATCTTGGTTTCACTTGGCTTCACTTTTCTCATTCACCGAATGACTGAAGTTCTTACTCCAGATATATATATAGAGCTCACTGACCGATGGTTGGTAAATCACGTGGCAGATTCGTAAAATACGACAGATACCGAGTTTTTCCGAGGAGCATTTTCGTGTGAATCACCAAATCACTCAATGCACGTTTTCGTCCATTGTTTTCGTCGAGGAAACACAAAGAAAATATTGATTGTTCGCCGAAATTTACATAATTGAGCGCCTTAGAAAAATAGATCGAGATAGGTAGAGCTTTGCTGTTTTTAATTTACCAGTCTTTTTAATATTTGTTGTGATTTTGGAGCCGTTGTGGCACTGATTTATATTCATCTGGGGCCGGTTGTTCAAAAGTCGATTAGCTTAACCCTAGGTTAACCTAAAATTCAAAGCAAACTTCCTGACAGCTTGTCTATAAATTTGGAAATATTTCTTCAGAAATCTTGTCTGGATCGATGGGAGTTTATTTCTCTGAACTTTTGAAATAAACAGAAGTGTAGAAATACAAATACCAAAACAGCGGGTTAAATTTTAACCAAGGGTTAGCACTAACTCACCTTTGAACAACAGGCCCCAGGGACCGGTTGTTCAAAGATGGGTTAGCGCTAACCCTGGGTTAAAATTTAACCCGCTGTTTTGGTTCGTGTAGTTCTGCATGTCTGTTTATCTCAAAACTTCAGAGAAGTGAACTCCTATCGATCCAGACAAGATCTCTGAAGAAATATTTCCAAATCTATAGACAAGCTGTCAGGAAGTTTGGTTTGAATTTCAGGTTAACCTAGGGTTAAGCTAACCTAGCTTTGAACAACTGGCCCTGGCGTTTATTTTATATATCGTGAAAGGCCACGGTATCAAAATACTATTTTTTTATATATTCAAATTGAAACGGAGCCATTGTGCTCTCACTGATTATATTGTGTGCAAAACTTCGAAACTACAGTACATAATACAATTTAAATTTAATACAACGAAATAGCAATCTATTTCGATAAATTACATATATATACATATATTACTCAGCACACTCCCTTATCAGGGCCAGGGGTTTTCAGTGACTGATTACATTAGAGCAGACCGAGGTAGACTGTGAGCTTACAAATGTCGCTTTAAGCAGGCGCTATTAGTCCATATCTCATTAATGATCTGCCCCCTGACCTATGTGCCTAACCCACCCTGTCAACTTTCCCTGTAGGAGGAAACACGGAGTACCCGGAGAAAACCCACGACTTTCGGCAGAGCGTTGACTTACTCTTTTCACATGAGGACTGGGTTCGAGTCACATTGAGAAAGTTCCCACTGAGATTTGAACCTGCGGCCTCAGAGGTGAGAGGCAAGTGCGCTAACCACTTGGCCACCGAAGCCCCCAATTCAGTCATAGTTTAATTATTTTCAATCTATTATAGTAATTCACCGTTTCCACGGGCTTTTGTACCTTCAAAAAGCTACAATAAAGCTAGATTTGTAGGAAATAACATTATTTAGTTATAAATTGAATTTATAACTAAATAATGTTATTTCCTACAAATCTAGCTTCATTGTTTTATTTGTAAAGGAAATCCAAGGTTAATCGCTTTCGATAAAACCTTGATTTGTTATTACCGTTGCTTGCAACTAACGATGAACAATCGCTCATGAAAACATTGCCTATTCGCGTGAGAATCTTAAATTTTCTTATTTGACATAATAGCTATATTTAAATAAATATATTGATCGTACGCTTATTCAATCAATATTTTAAGTTTCAGGCCAGTTGTACCAAAAGTTCACAGTCGATTTCACGAAACTTTGACCACAAATGTTCCGACTATTGGAATTGACAAGCCAATTTGTAAACAAAGTCCCTGATTGGTAAACAAATTTACCTGATTGGTAAACAATTGATTGATTGATTGTTTACCTGTTTGATTGTTTACTTGATTGTTTACCTGATTGATTGTTTACTTCATTGTTTACCTGATTGGTAAACAAATGGTAAACAATTTGTAAACAAAGTCCCTAAAGTAAAAGACTCCAATCAAATGCGTATAGTTTACAAACTTGTTTAGTTTACAAATGCGTATAGTTTACAAACTGGAATCTCATTATGAACTTTTGAATTTCGCAACGAACTTCGTAACGAAGTTCGGAACATTTGTGGCCAAAGTTATCTGAAATCAACTGTAATATAAGCGCTAGCGCATCCATAAGGTTTAAGATGGCATGCAACATGTACGCAGTGCGTACCTATCCGCCCCTGGTTTTGATAATCTAACTTCAACTAATTTGTAAAAGAACAGGAGGTATACACTACGCAAATCCTTTTCAGAATCCGTTATTATTTAAAGACCAATCTATATAGACCCATTGCACATGACGTCACAGCACGGGGACGATGCATCTGGAGGAAGCAAATTTTGTAAAACTTTATAATAATTTTGTATTAAAATGGTTCATTTTTCCGCTGTATGTGGTTGTTGTACCCGAACAGATATTGTTAGGGAGCATCTGGAGGACACTCTAAGGATTTGTGACGTCAGTGCAATGGGTCTATACTCTAATCTTGACTATACTTGATCTGTGGATAATTTAAATTCAAAATTATCGTCTGAACATGTCAGCAGTGGTTGTTTTGAAACTAGCATGTATTGTGATTTTATATGCAACAAATATAGCATGCCATCATATTTCTGGTCACGTTGGTTGATCAGTGTTGTGAGAAAATAGGAAGTAGTTCTTTCAAGTTAGAGTGTGCCTTTCACTTATTTCAGACATATTTATTTTTTGACTTTTCAAGGAGAACGCATTTGTTAACTGTGACGACCTGGTTTTCCCAACGAAAGCGAGCAAAGTTTGCCTGTAGTCGGGTAGACGTAGGGCATATAGAATTGGGTTAGCCGCGAAATTTAGCATGGCGATTGGTGCGTAGTAATAGGAGAGGTAATGCAATACTCGGGCGGTTTCATCTTGATCAAAGTATCCCAGTCTTGCCAATAACTCTAGTTGTTTGAATAAGAAATAAGGAAAGGCGGTGAGGAAGAGAATCAGTGTAAGAATGATCACAGTCTTTGCGATATTCTTGTGTTTGGCATTTTGAGGATTTCCAGTGCTTCGTCCACTTCGAATTATCTCGATCGCAACTTGGATATTCAAGACTATTTGAATGACAAGGGCGATTTGTAATACGCCCATTTTAGCTGTCCAAATTTTTAAGTTGATCGTTAATGGCAAATGGAAACGGTAGGTGATAAGACTGAGACCCAATAAAAATGCGAAGAGCCAAACTGCTATGCCAACCAATACGATCTTTAGAGCGGTGAACCAATGGCGACTTTTGAGCGGAAATTTTGTAATTGCGAAAATTTGTACAGAGAGAAATGTCAACCATAAGAACGAAGCGGAAGAACCAAAACCCCAGCCAATAATGGTGATGTCATCGTATAACTCGCTTTTAGGGATGAAAAATATCACTCCCCATAAAAAGAAGCACGATATACATGAAATGAAGTCTGCAATTGCCAGGTTGAGAATAGTTAGCCATGGTCCTTTGCGAAGTATTTTCAAAGGATCAATAGCCATGGCAATGATTACAACAAAGTTGAGCACTGCACCCGTTGCTGCCACAGACATAACGACGGTAACGATGTTTCTATACTCTTTGCTACGGAAATACGATGCCTATGAAGAAAATGATAACATAAGAAATGAAGGTTTAGTCATTTCCTATATTTTGTCCTGATTTTTAACTTTGATTTTCTCGGCTAAAAAGAACCATATCGCCAAAATAGTTGGTAAACTTGATCAGTTAGACGCATTCGTCTCATTGATGTGTACGATATAAGTTTATGCCCATGTCCTTAAGGTGGCTCCCTACTGTCAATGGTTACTTATGGAAAAGCAAATAGTATCTGAGTTATAGAAAATGCTATCTGAAGAATATCAAAATTTTAGCACATATGACGTCACTGCCGTTGCTATGGCAACAATCACGTTTGAATATGGCCGATTTTTGGCTTTAAAAACACAGTGGTGTATTGCACGGGCAACCCCCCCACCCCCCACCCCCCTCCCCAAATGAAATTTTAACAAGGCGGCTTAATTTTGGCGCTAAGCCTCCCCCTCCCTTCTACACTTCTGTCTCCTGCTCTTCTATCTTATTCGGGTATGTGATAGACACAGCAACAACTATTAATATATTTATTAATGAACATGGATCAAATATATTTCATAACAGAGTGCACTCGACATTTCAAATTGATACACATAGATTCCTGGTTAATTTAATCAGGTTATATGGTGGAGACTATTAATTTTAACCAAGAAATCCTGGTGAATAATCCACCAGACATAATCTGGTTAGTTCAACCATATATATAGCCTGGTTAAATTAACCTGGAATCCTGATTAAATTAGCCAGGACTGTGATAAAATTAACCAGGACTGTGGTTAAATTCACCCGGAAATTTAAGCAGGAACATTAAGTTACGGCAAACAGTGTTGATTAGATTAACCACGAACTTTTTAGCCAGGGTGTTTTAGAATGTGTAAACCTTTCAACCCTGGGGTTGAACTCAGCCCTGTCGATCGGGGTTGAATTTTTTTGCGATTACATGGACGATTTCAACCCCGGGGTTGAAATACTACACGTTCCCGGCATTGGCTCCATAGCCTCCATTTTGTTTTCTTGTAATAAATAGTCACTACCACGCATGCTCGAATAACTCATGAATAATTTCAGCCCTGGGTTGAAACGATTAAGTTACAAAATTTTCACTAACTCAGGTCGTCAGGTCCGAGTTCAACCCCAGAGCCGAGCCCTGGGTTGAAAATTTTGTCATGTAATCGCGCATTTGATTTTGATAGTTTGGTATTACAGACAGGGCTGAAATTTCAACCCGGTCAACAGGGCCGAGTTCAACGCCGGGGTCGAAAATGCTCCATGTAATCGGCCCCTGAGTAAAGCGAGAAAACCTTGAACAGTCTTGTTTGGGTGGAAATTACAGTAAAGCTACGAAAGGTATATTTTATATATACATTCAATTTAGCCGTAAACGGTTGTGCTTCACCCCTATTATTGTTTTAATTAATATACAGTGTGTATAAAAAAAAAGTATAGCCTTTTAAATTTAAATCAAGCATAACGCCGTATTCTATTGAATTCATCTGACAAGCTATATAATTAGCCATTTCCCAAAGTCCTGGGTCTAGTCGCGCAAATCCCATGTTGGAGGGACAAGAAATACGGCAGCACACATTTTAACTAAATGTTTAATGTAAAAAGGAGATATTTCATTTTTGGTCGTGTAAAAAGTTGATATTTGATGGTAGATACTTCTACTCTTTTACATATTTGACGCCTGTCACTATACAGGGTGTCTCAAAAAAACCCAAAATCATTGAAATAACGTATTGTTCGAATTTCAATGCCGTAACACAAAGGATTTTGACAGGGTGATTAATTTGTTTTAAAAAATTAAAATATCTTTGTAAAGTGAACGTTTGTTTGCTCCTGGGAATTTAAAAATGCTTCGTAAATTGTAATATGCGTAATATGCATTCGTGGGTTTAGTACTTTATGCCTGACATAACAAGTTTACGCTGAGTATTACCATTCATTATAGCAGTTATGTCAATCTTTTATGCACTCGTGGGATTAACTTAGTGCTAGGGCATTGAATATCGAACAATACGTCAATTTCAATGATTTTGGGTTTTTTTGAGACACCCTGTATATTTTGTCCCTCCAAACGATCCCAGAATGTACTGTGATCTCTTTTGGGAAAAGGCTAATTGCTTCGAACAAGTTAGCAAGCCGTAAAACAAAAAACTTTCTACTTATGGGACATGTACGAACATTAGAATGAAGTTATAATTGATTCCGTCGCGTATCATTAACTCAAAGCAGTTGAGAACAATCAAATCACTTATAATTATCAGTCGTTAATTTGAATTTGAAAGGCTATACACCCTGTACAGTGTGTCTCAAAAAAAAGTGAACCCTTTCAAATTCAAATTAGCTATAACGTATTGTAATAATTTAACAGCTCTAATTGCTTTGAATTATAATGGTTGGGTAAGATTGTAAGAACATAAGGTCTTGTATACTCATGGGACAAAACTCAAAGAAATAAAAATTAGAAAATTTAAAAGTTTTTAAGAGTTTTGTCCCATCACAGTAACTGTGGTCCCATGAGTACAAGACCTTGTGTTCTTACCCATACATTAATTCAAAGCAATTAGAGCTGTCAAATTACTACAATACGTTTAATATAGCTAATTTGAATTTGAAAGGTTCACTTTTTTTTTAGACATACTGCATGTATAATGATAATATATTATAATATAGCATTTGTACTGAACGCTGATTGGCTAAGAGCCGTGTTGATATAACTCAATGTCAACACGGAAACGTCGGAAAATTTCTTTCTTTATATTTCTTTGTGCTATATTATAAAACAAATATAAAACATTTTTTCCGTATTGATATACAGTTATATCAACACTCGTGGAAATTGGGAAAACGAGAGATTGTGTGGAAACACGACGCCCGAAGGGCGGAGTGTTTTCACACAATTTCGAGTTTTCCCACTCGTGTTGATATAACTGTATATCAACACGGAAAATGTTTTATATTTGTTAAATATAATGCATGTATTGTTTCACGCCCACGTTTTGGCCGTAAACATTTAAGCAGGCAATATTTCGAAATTTGTCAGCCACCTGGCGATTCCTTTTGAGTTTTGGATGAAACAGGCTGTAGCGGCAACCATTTGGGGTATAAAAAAGCCAATACAAAGAGGGTGGGAAAGGTATTTTCGTGAGCCGTGAATGGTCAATATTTGTTCGTGTGAAATGCTACAGCCGTGAGGCATGATTGTCGATAAAAATGCTCCGTTTTAAGAATTTTAAGCCTGTTTTCCACTAGCGAATTTGTTCGCGCGAATTTTTTGTCTTATGAGCTCTCGGCTGGAACTAATTAGATTTGTAATCAATTCTTTTCAATTTAAACAATAAAAAATTCGCTTCGCGTGAAGAAATTCGCATGTGGAAAACCGGCTCAAGCCGGTTCAGTTTTCCACTAGCGATTTTTTTAGCGCGAAGCGACCTTTTTCCTTTGTCGGTATCACTTACACGTCAGCAAGACTTGGCAAAATAGATGCCGACAAAGGAAAAAGGTCTCTTCGCGCGAAAAAATTCGCTAGTGCTAATTTGCACCTATCAATGTTAACCCCGGGGGGGGGTCGGGCATATGTGAGGTATTTGATCATCAATTGCATCCCCACCCTGTGGATTTTGATTAGCATTTTGGCCCCGAGTTGGGGTAATTTGAACCGAATGACTTTTATTAATATAGTATTTATTGCAAAATGGTGGGGTATTTGACCAATATTTATTGCCCGACGGTGGGGCATTTGATTGAAAATTTGCTAAAAAAAATCAAATGCCTCACCTATGCCTGACCCCCCCCTGGAGCTTAACATTGATAGGTGCACAGTAGTGGAAAGATGTCTGTTTCGTGAACTGTGATTTTGCTTTGTTTATTTCGATCTTTTTATAATAGCCACAATACAGGTGTCTCAAAAAAAACCAAAATCATTGAAATAACGTATTGTTCGAATTTCAATGCCGTAACACAAAGGATTTTGACAGGGTGATTAATTTGTTTTAAAAAATTAAAATATCTTTGTAAAGTGAACGTTTGTTTGCTCATGGGAATTTAAAAATGCTTCGTAAATTGTAATATGCGTAATATGCATTCGTGGGTTTAGTACTTTATGCCTGACATAACAAGTTTACGCTGAGTATTACCATTCATTATAGCAGTTATGTCAATCTTTTATGCACTCGTGGGATTAACTTAGTGCTAGGGCATTGAATATCGAACAATACGTCAATTTCAATGATTTTGGGTTTTTTGAGATTTTGGTTTTTTCATTAATCCACAGGCAAACATGTCAAATTGCTGCTGAGTTTTAACGTATTATATCATAGTAACATATCCATAAAATTTTGTATTGAAATAGGATCAATATATCTTTGTGCATTTGTAGTTTTTCTTACAATAGATAAGAATCAAATGTTCGTTTGAGTTTATCAATTTAAATTTAATCTAAATACTTTTTCACGCCCAGTCGAGACCACGCCCAGCGCCGACAACGCCCCGTCCGCCAAAAAAAATTGACTGAGGTACGAAAAATCCTAGATCCGCCCCTGATAGAAGTGAGATAACTCACAACGTAGATATACTGCACCATGCATTAAACATACTCTTAACAAACCTATTATTATTATATTATTTTTATTAGAATCTAGTTTTTAGTGAAATGTGAAATTGCTTTTTAAGACACGTGAATTGTGAAACAGCTTTTTTTTCGTTGATGTTGTGAAATGTGACCCATACCCCCTACATATAAACTCATGTGCAATATTCATTTTCCTGTATACTTTTAATGTTATTGATGTTATTAAAGGTTTTACAGCATATACATTTTCAATAAAAACTGGATCAGTCGTAAATATGGTTCAGCCTATAGTGGATGCAAATCTTTGAATCGCATACGTGATGATGTAACATGACACGGAAAACCACAGATAACTGAATTAGTCTACACACATCTGTTCCTGTTTGAATAACATTTTATCTAAAATCTTCGTTGAATCTAAAATAGTCTTCGTTGGTGACTTTACAATAGTAATATTAGGCTGGGATTACACTATACCGGATTGATTTTCATACCGGATCAATTTTCACACCGAAGCCAAAATCAAGGGTGTTTAATTTAATACACTATGCCGCTTCGCTCTGTCGCCAGCTCGTATCTTTTATCGTTGCCACGGAAACAAAGAATAAGTTTTGACCATTTTGGACATTTTCTCAACAGTACTTGTGAATTATAACTTTGTTTACAAAGCTTGACCACCCGACGTTGCTTTGTCTCGCTCTTATCGAAAATTGACGAGTATTTCATTAAATTTTGCCCTTTTGAAAGCAAGAAGTCAATGTTATTACCGCTATCTTTATTTGTCTTCGCTAGAAATAATAAATAATTGTAAAGCGAAGCAAACAACAGCTATAAAATATTTAAAAGAGAGTAAATAAAACGACAATGTTAAAATATACTTGCCGAAACCTATTTATAGTACCGGAGCGTACCGGATTGCCTGATTACACTTGGTTTTATCCGGTACAGCACGTACCGGATTACTTTTCATATCACCTCCAAAGCGAAGTGATTTTCGCGCCGCGGCACGTACCGGATTACAGTGGCGTAGTGTAAACAAGAGGCCAATCCGGTACAGAAATCGCGTCGCTTCGATGCAATCCGGTATAGTGTAATCGGGGCCTTAGTGAGTGACTTTACAATATGAAAGATAGGCTAAAGTAACCTAAGACAATGTAGTTTATGTAGAACAGGATAAATTATCACTGTATATATCCAGTCCGAGACAAGCGTGATTGTGCTAATAAATCGCTCATGCATAAGTTAACAATCCTCCGTATTTAAAAGTCTCCACTTTCAAAGCCATTTTCGAGAAGCCCCGATGTGGCATGTTACGGACGAAGGCATCTATATATGATCTATTTTCCATCATGTTAGTGTAGACGATCGGAGAAAAATACAAAATTGATTAGTGAGGACGGCTCCTGATTCCTGAACAAAGTATGAACTCAATATATCCTACCTACGAAATCGATTAGTGAGGACGGCTCCTGATTCCTGAACAAAATATGAACTCAATATATCCTACCTTCGAAGACGATGTAATTG